GAAGACAAAATCGCGCAGAAGTCGGTGTTTCGTGGACGGTGATGGCGGTCGCGGTGAAAGTGACGCTGCTGTCTGAGCTGCCCCCGTTCCGAATTAAGCCGCCAGCCCTTGGACCGCCGAGGACCCTCCTTCGCCGAAATTCTGTGGTCTGTGCAGGCGGGTGCCCAACCGGGATTCGAAAAGACAGCGTTGGTGGTTGGTTTGCTTTGCTAGATATCCAGGAGAGTTACGATGGTTTGGTCTGAAGACTCAACGGAGGTTGGGAATCACCTGTGCAGGTGAGGAAGGTTAGGTAAGTTGCAGGATATCCTTGGACTACTAACACCTCTGGCGAAGAAAGAGGCCTTCTGGGCTGAATGCTTGGGAAAGGCCAAGGGAACGTACCGGATGCAGGCAAGGGTCTTCTCGGCGGCAGTCCCGACATCTGGGGCCGGTTAAGCTTCGGACCGATCAAGTGCCCTGTTGCACCTGACGTAGCTGGTATCACGTGATTATCAATCAATTGAAGGTGAGCTCTTTGGCAGGCCCCCACCGGGCTGTGGCGCTCAGCTCTGTAGTCCCGTTGAATCCAACGTGGCACCGTGGCTCGTGCTCGACCAGGACCTCCAGCTGGTGCGTAATGTAATCCAGCGTGGAAGAAATTTATTCTCCAGTCTGCCAATCCAACACTCCCGCTTCCGAGTCGACGACTTCTCCAAATCGACCCTGCCTGCCCATTGCGCGAGCTTCAATCGGTCCCCAGGGCAGTCGCATCTGTATTTTTCCTCCTGATACAGAGACCCTTTGGTCACTTCTCCCTCCCTTTGAAGACTTTTCCCGTCTGTTTAATTCCCCGGTTTCGTTCGACGCAGGCCCGCGCCGACTCTCGCAACCATGGCCGCAAGCTTCCAACAAATTCAGAATGTTCTTCTGAACAACCCTGTCGCCCACACTCTTTCAGATGCCATCAACTCCTTCTCGGAAAGGAGAGCAAAGCTTGGCCTGTCCAACCCCGGCACCACCGAGAATCTGACGAAGGAGGTCCAGCGCGATGTCCTGCTCAGCAACTACATGTTCACCGGCCTCCGCGCCGACCTCACCAAGGCCTTCAGCATGTCACCTTTGTTTCAGGTTTCTCACCAGTTTGCTATGGGCGACCGTTTGAACCCGTACACCTTTGCAGCGCTGTACGGAACGAGCAAGGTTGGTAAACCCCGCCATGTCAATTATGCGCGAAAACTGTTCGCTGACGTAGAGATAGGTTTTCCTGCAAGGAAACATGGACAACGACGGACAGCTTTCTACCCGATTTAACTACCGATGGTCTGATAAGCTGGTGTCGAGGGCCCAGTTCCAGGCTGCTCCCGGCGCCGGCCAGGAGATGCTTCAGTTCGAGAACGAGTACACAGGCGACGACTTTACTGCCTCCCTCAAGATGCTCAACCCCTCCTTCCTCGAGGGCGGCATGACCGGTATCTTTATTGGAAGCTACCTTCAGTCTGTTACCCCCAAGCTTGCCCTCGGTCTCGAGACCGTCTGGCAGCGCCAAGCCATGACCCAGGGCCCCGAAACCGCTACTTCCTACTGCGCTCGCTACAAGTCCGCCGACTGGATCGCCACCGCTCAGCTCCAGGCTCAGGGTGCTCTGAACACCTCTTACTGGAGACGTCTTTCCGACAAGGTTCAGGCCGGTGTTGATCTGTCTCTGTCTCTCGTCCCCGGTGCTGGAGGTGTCATGGGTGGATTCCAAAAGGAGGGTGTCACCACCATTGGCGCCAAGTACGACTTCAGAATGTCCACTTTCCGTGCCCAGGTCGACTCTAAGGGAAAGCTGAGCTGCTTGTTGGAGAAGCGCATTGCTGCCCCTGTCATGATGACTCTGGCCGCCGATGTTGACCACTTCGCGGTATGTGATGCGTATTTCTACTCACGAGCCTATACTAACTCTCTCTCAGCAACAAGCGAAGATTGGTGTCGGTATCTCCATTGAGGCCGGTGGCGAGGAGCTCCAGGAGCAGCAGGAGGCTCTCGGTGCTCAGGGCACCCCCAACATCCCCTTCTAAACTCGATACGAGGCAGGCTGGGCGTTCGCCGAGCCTAACCCGAAGCTCCGCTCCTAATCGAACCCGATAATTGTGTGTCCTCTGGCGAGGACAGGAAACGACACCAACGAACTCGACTCCTCTTTGCAAGCTCTTTCTTTATACTGCTGTCTTAGTAAACGAATTCACGCCTCGACAGCACGGACTAGACGATTTGACGCTTCTCATGCCCCCCCGAAGCTCACCTTTCCGTCCACCCATCTCACTCTCGTTCGGTGACCCCGATTCCTGTTCTCTACCGCCGAGGACCTGTGTATATTACGCTCAGGACGAGCAAAGAAATGATCAGCGTGGTGGGGTATGGGTTGGCTAGGATGCATTTGTTATGGGGAGGTCTGGAACGGCATACCCAACGCGGAGTGGCCGATGCCACTCCGATGAGAGAGCATCTACATGAGTGAGAGTATCCCGAATGGGCCCTCTTGATGAAAAGCTCTCGCATGTACTTTGTATGAAGGAGATAGAATTCAGATGCTGATACAAGCCCTATTGTACAATCACGAAGTCAAGAACAAATTGTGTGCATAAGCTAGGCCGGGGCAAGTATTTGCAGGTCAACCAGAATACTACCGAGGCCGTGCCGTGGTACGTAACCTCATAAGTATGCGAAGTTGCCGTTGCTGAAACTTGGCCAGGTTATCTATCTTCTAACCACCTAGGGGTCACGGTTGCCCGGAAACGCCTCGCAGACGATGAAGCGTTCCAAAGGGCGACTTGTCAAACGCTCATTGCTCTGTCTCACTTCCAGCTGGGGACGCATGGCATGGTTTGACACAATCGAAGCAGTTGCAGCGGCGTCTCTGATACAGTCTCAGCAGTAATTCTGATTTCAAGGCATTTGCCATTCTACTCCTTGTCAATTTGCTTGAACAGCGTTTTCACCTCCTCATCACTCCACTCCTTCACACTCAGCATTGCATTGTCGCTCTTCTCCCATGGAGCGGCATAATGCTTCTTTGTGCAAGCATACGGAATCTGCGGGATCAAGACGTCAGGGGTCATGACGCCCTTCTTAATCTGCTCCATGCACTGCGCATAGACGGCGTCCATGTCCGTCTTGATCTCTTCCCACTCTCCGCCAATCGCCTCCTTCGCGAGCTGCGCAAGCTGCTTCTGAGACTTGTTGATCGTGTGCACATAAATGATACGGTTGGCCGAGTCGTCGGGGTTCGTCAGCGACCCGAGAACAGCCTTGCCGACGTCAGGGAGGTTCGTGTAGGGAACCACGTTGTCGCCGTCGTTGAAGTACGTGATCTTCTTCTTCTTGACGTCGAAGCCCATGAAGGTCGACCGGATGCCCCAGTCGAGGAAGGGCCCATTGGCGATGATGGTCCACGTGAACTTGTCGCCCACCTCCTGCGCCTTGGCCTCCATGTACTTGCGCGTCAGCGCCTTGATGCCGAACACGGGCAGCTCCGGGACGTGGGCTTTGTTGGGGTCGATGCCGAAGTCGGGCGGGATGTAGCGGTACACGCCGGCGGCGACGGCGGCGTCTACCACGCGGGTCGCGGCCTTGGGGTCGAAGTTGCTCGTGCAGTTGACGAAGGCGTCCTGGCCCTTGAGGGCGGCGGTGAGGGAGTCGAGGGACTCGTAGTCTACCTCTTTGACGGTGCAGCTGGAGGGGAACTCGTGAGAGCCGGCTTTGCGCGTGAGGATGGTGATGCTGAATTTGTTGGTGTCCATGAGAGCTTTGAGGACGTGGGGGCCCACGTTACCGGCAGCCTGGGCTTGTTAGTTGGTAGGAGGGTACTGGACAGGGAGGACTTACGCCGGCAATGGCGACGTTCTTGATTTCTGGTGCCATAGTGTTGTGATGTGTCGATTTACCGTTGAAGTGTGTTTAACTGGTGATGATACTAAGCATCAGTATGAACAGCAGCGCAGAGCTCCTACTTATCTTCTTCCTCATTTTCATGGCAAGGATGATTGGCCGTGCTGAAGGAAGCTCCCGGAAGCAAACTGGAAGCACATGCCGCTGTGACGGGCTTCCGTTCCAGGCTCGTCTGAAGGTATCTTGGCCGTCACTCATTTGCTATCTCGCCAGAGCCTCAACAGCTTGGAGCTTCGCGCTTCGAAGCAAGAGCTTTGACCCTGTAGCAGCAAGGTGACGCACGTACGCTAACATGTTCTCGAACATGCTCTGGTTCAGTCTTTCCATGTACCACACTGAGCTCGGTTTGTGGAGACAGACCAGGCCAATGGAGATTGCGTATATATCGACATCCGCAGTACAACACGATGGACATCATTTGCTCGAGTTGCTAGGTTTGGCTCGTGTTACGGATGAATGCGATAGCTAAGCTCTAAGGTTCCGCGTCTCGCTTACCAAGTGTCTCAATAAGGCAGTGTACTCACCGAGAAGTCATTGGCAGTATGGCTGCCTTGCATGACATAGCCTTCTGAAAGTTGGGATGATTGGAAGCTTCCGGGTCTGCCGGCCTAGCGAGGCCTTGCAGCTCGTTCGCCAGGACGGGAACTAAGTTGCGAGACGAAGCAACAAGATAGCATTATAACAAAGTCAAATTTGGATGACGAACAGGCGCGCGGGAGTCGGTTGAGATTCATCGATGGACGTGTCGGAGGTCCGTAGTACAAGGGTCGGCATGGTCGTTTCGAGATGCGACATCCTTTCCATGAGAAGAGACGTAGCAAATGATGATCCTCCCATGTAGTGGTCTTCATGTTTGTCTCCCGGTGCAGTTCACTCATTATGATTGAAAATATACACAGCCAGTCGCTGCTAGCTGTGCAGTGCTGAGGTTGTTCTGTAGACGAGAACAAGTGGTCTGTGTGTAGAATTGATCAAACTTCCGAGACAAACATCTCACGATGTGTTGAGGAGCACTTGAAAGCCGTCGATGTCGCAATTCGAGCTTTGGAACTACTGAAAACTACAAAAAAAAAAAGTACAAAAGAGTGTGCGAGAACCGGGACTCGAACCCGGAGCAGCGGCATGGGAAGCCGCTATGTTACCCCTACACCATTCTCGCTGTGACAAAAACTCTTCAACGCATCGTTTATGAATGCTGACACCGTGGCTGACTATGCCGAGCAGTGAGGCCTGCATCCCGCTGATGACAAGCCGCAAAGGTCCCATAATGAGGGGTGACGGAAACACCCGGCTTATGCTGAGGGGTTACTGCATAACTAAACTCAAAATGGTAGCAGGCTTCGGCGGTTGTCATACCGCAGAAAGTGGTTCCGGAAACATACCTTACCTTTGTAGTTGCTTGGTTGTGAATTGACCTTTTGCTGAAACATGACAGATTCTTCGCTGATATGTCACTTGGTTGGTTCATAAACAGGTTAGATGAACCCGTTCCCAGAAATAGATGTTTTGAAGAACATAAAAGAAGAGCAGTGAGTTGGGTGAAATCGAAAGAACTTGTAGGAGAGAAAAGTTTTGTCGAGTCGTTCTGGTGCGAGCTAGACTGCAAACTAATTACAGCACTGGTCGGTGCGCTGCAGCAAGCAAGACCCCTTGTCTTCAATGGATCTTCCCAGTAACGACACCTTATGTAAGGCGGCATAGTATATTCAACAACTGTTAGCTCGAGTTGAATCTTGAGGATATCAATTCAACTTGTAAACTAAGCCTTGTTTATTTATGACCCTCTCTATCTCTATCGCTCCGTTGTTTCTAAAACAAAAGAGTATTTTCTTTAGAATTAAGTTTTGACTGAATAAAGACAGTACACTAACGGGTTACCACGTTGATAAAATCACAGTGATTGTATAGTACCTTTACTAGGGGGTGCTGATCAAAGGTGATGATTCCTGAATGCTTACTTAAATCAGCCAACGCCAGACTCCGTGAAGGTACTATGCTTTTGATAGGTAAAGGAGTCTAATTCCTTATTCTGGCTACGGTATGTACGGCATTTCAACTCCTCCACTCACATAACAAGTCTGTGGATTTAGATGCCACGGAGACCGAATCTATGCGATCCCGTGGGCGAGCTGTTGTCTCGAGGTCCATTCAGCATCGGCTTTTCCTTGACGAACCTTAAGCCCTTCCCTTCCACAGCTCATATCAAGTATCGGAACCCCTTCTGCCTCTGCCTCGCCGTACCAACATCAACAACCTCCACATGAGCCGTCTCCCCCAACCGCTGCATCTCCTTATCCCCCACCACCACGTCCTCGTTCTCAAGCCTGTCCAACCGCTTATTCTCACGCACCAGAATCCACCGCTGCCACACACCACCAATCGCAGACACCCCCAGCAGCGCAATGACGATACCCAAAGCAACAGGGTACCTATCCCCTTGCGCATCAAAATACGTGTATGAAGTCCAGATGGACGCCGCGTTCCCGACGGCGTTCATGAACCCCAGAGCCGCGGCGCGCTTCGCCGGCGGGCGGGGCACACACGTCGACATCCAGGCGTACGTCGTGCCGTTCATGGTGAAGACGAAGTTGAGCAGGAACAGCGAGAAGTACCGCGGCCCAAAGGCCGTTGTTGTCATGAAGATGACGCAGCCCGCAATCACGATTGGGACAGGATCTAAACCATCGGCCGTTTGATCAGTAACTCAACTTCCCCAACATGTAAAGACCTCGACGAAAAGCGGGCGCAACTTACACATGAAGAACCAGAACCGGTTCTGCACCCGATCCGACAACCACGAGTGGAACGCACAGTAAAACGCCATAAAGACGTACGGCGGCGCCACAAGCAGCAGCGAGACGGTATCGTCAAAGCCCAGCGTCCGCGTCAGACTAGGGAAGAAGTTTTGGAACCCGCCCGCGCCGACGAAGGCGTGGTACGCGACGGTGAGAATCCACACCTTGGGGTCCCTCAACGCCATCTTGAAGCCCTCGAGCTGCGCCCGCGGCCCGCGGGTCTCGTCGACGTCCGACTCGGCCGCGTCGACGGCCAACCGCTTAGTAGCCACGCGCCGCAGCTCCGGGGAGAGCGCGCGCCAGGATTCGGGGAAGTCGGGGAGCACGAGGCAGATGAGGATGCCTGTCGCGACGGTGACGACGCCCTCGAGGATGTAGAGCCAGCGCCAGGCGGAGATGCCGTGCGCCTTGTCGAGGCCTTTGAGGATCCCCGCGGCGATGAGGTTGCCAAAGGCACCGGCTATGAGGGAGCCGTTGTAGAAGAGGGCCATACGGAGCGAGAGTTCTTTCTTGGTGTACCACTTTGAGAGGTAGAAGATGACCTTTTACCTGTGTGAGTAGATAGCATGAGGTGAGGATCTGATGATACTAACCCCTGGGAAGAACGGTGCCTCTTTTCTTGATGTCAGCCGGTGTAAGCGAGGCGTGAGGGTCCGCACTAACCAACGAGACCCAGGACCAATCTGCAGGCGATGATGCCGGCGAAGTTTTGGACTAAGGCTGTGAGGGCCGAGACCAGGCCCCAAGCAATGGTGAAAAATCCCAGGTAGTATGCCGGTTTTCCAATTTGGTTGAGCATCATGTTGGAAGGAACTTGGGCGAGGACCTAGAGACAAGCTTTCCGTCATTATGAAGTCCGTGGGGAAAGGCTTGCACTTACATAGGTGATGAAGAGCACCGAAAGCCCAATCTGGTCTGTCATGTGTAAGCCACATTGATAATTAATTCTCGTGGGAGCCTTTACACTGTGTGTCGGTGAGATTTAGATCCGCCTCCAGCCCTTGAAGACGAGCTGCGGCATAGTTGTTCCTGCCCAAAGTCAGCCAACGTCCCAGAGTATATCGGGACCACTGACCGGTCAATATAGTTCATCAGGTATGTCCATACGATAAGCGGCATGATCATGAGGTCAATCTTCCATCGGAGCTTCTTCTCAAGAGCAAGCTCGTCCTCCGTCAGACCAAACGAACTCATCTGTCCAGAGCTCTGGCTCGCTTCCCTGTACGGCTCAGCCAAATTGTCAACAGGGACTTTGGCTGAAATAGCATGCTCATCGGCATTCGCCGTGTTGGTTGGGAAAGCCATTCTAGTCACACTCTCTCGATCTTTCCGTGAAAGAAGACTGAGATCGAGATCGTGCTTTGCAAGCAATGCGTGTGGGCGTATAACTTTAAAAGACTACCAACCCTGCCCAGGGCGTTCACGACGCAACGCGTACCCCCACGGGAATCTCTTGTCATACGTAGTATTATTGATACCAAGATCTGTTGTTCTACGGACAACGTTCTCCGTCTCAGCTACAAGTATTCACCGCCGGAAAAGTTCCTTGATCGTCCAAGTTGGCGCCGAGACTACCCCGCGTCCCCAATCCACCGCCAAGCCTATCGTTGGGAGGCTGAGCTGCGCGGTTTTCTACTCACTCGTGTTCAACACTTCACAAGGCCATTCTACAAGCTACTGTGGTAATGAACAGGGACACCAACTTAAGCTCAAGCCAGCATTCGTGACGAACTCTATATTGCGTGTCGTCTGTCTAAAGGAGGCCATTCTCGACCAACGCCCATACCATAGTAAAAACAGGGGCATTTGACCGCTGCACACGCGGAGCAATAAGCCCAATCAACTATTACAATGCCGTTACTGGAAAGTCTATGTTACAACATGCATCGCCCGTTCATGGCACCTGCGCTTTCTTCGATCGTGAATCTGAAAATCGTGAATCCTATACAACATCTTACTTCGCCATGACATCGACGTAACGGCCACCCTTCTTGGCCTTCTTGGCTCCGGGTTTACGCGGGCCAGCGGCACTGAGCAAGTCGTCAATGCTACTAGCATTACTCATGCTCGTCGCGGGCCGGCTTGGAGGACCACTGAGAGGGCCTCCAGCCGCACTCGTGTTCGACACCGAGCGCATCATTGCAGGCGGACGAGGTCCCGGCGGACCACCACCAAGACTCTCAATAGAGGGCGTCTTCGCAAGATCTGGAACTGGTAGACCACCGGGAGGCGCGCTTGCTCGGCCCATGGGCGGAGTCATAATACGAGGGGGAGGTGTTCCCGTCATAGACCGAGGGCCGGCCTTCGGTGGCGGCGGTGTCGCCGTCTTGGCCTGCGCTTGGTCTGCGCCTGCAGCCTTGTTCACCCAGCGCTTCAGCTCGGGATCATACACAAAGTTGTTGGCTTCACCCAGCTTGGCTTTAATAGGCTTGTTGGGCTGCGCGGCATCAGGAATTGCTTCCTTCTTGCCGCCGAACCAGCTGCTGAAGCCCCATCCCTTCTTCTGCTGCTGCGCGGCTGCTGCTCGCTTGGCTGGATATACTGTCAGCAGAAACTCATTACCCTCAATACTATCCAACTTACCATCTTCTTCAGCTGCCTTCTTGAACATTTCCTCGTTCTCCTTATCCTTCTCCGCCTTGCTCTTCTCCTCGGATGTTGACCTAAGTGCCTTGAGACCAGGGATATCATCATCATCGTCATCCATGAAACTCTTTGGCTTTCGCTTGGGCTCCTCGGACTCTTCATCCGCCTCAGGCTCAGGGTTGTATGAGGGCGGTTCGTAGCCATACGGTTGGAACGATGGAGGCTGGTAACCATCCGAGCCAGTGCTATCTTGACCTTGCGACTGAGGCTCGTCGTTGGGGACCAGCGATGGGGGCTCGTTTCCGTAAGAAGGTGGCTGGTAGCCGGAACCAGACAAGTCATTCGACTCCTGGGTGCCAGTTTGCGTCTCGACCTCCACCGAGGGGATCGTGGACGGCTGGCTAACACCATAAGGCTCATACGGCGAGTTAGCGGGCGGCTGCAGAGCGGAGACCGGTGCAGCTCCTGGCTGAGCCGGAGCAGAGGTCGGGGGCGTGTATCCGAGGGACGGGCCGGAGAGACTCTGCGGCATGTAGCCCCCGTTTGCGTTGCCGGGCTGCGAGTCCATAGAAGTTCGGGGCTCGTAGGGGCTGCGAGAAAGCTCGTTGGAAGTGCGTCCTGCCGAGGCGGGCGCAGGCATGTAGGAACCGGCTTCGTAGGGACTGCGCGAGAATTCGTTCGATGAACGGCCAACAGATGCCGGTGCGGGCATGTATCCGGCGTTCGGCTCATAGGGGCTACGAGACAGCTCATTTGACGAACGTCCAACCGAAGCAGG